CTTCAAGAGCCAGCTACACCTAGGAACTCTTGAACCTGTCTCTTAGACAATAGAATCAGGATCTGAAGGATGGCAGCAGTCCAAATCTCAGACAGGCTCCTTTTACCTCTCCTCAGCTTTTATTTATTTTCTGTGCCTTCCAGACCCTTCTATCCTTACTCCTGCCTTGTTATTGGCCATTCAGCTCTTAATTAGATCAATTAGGTGTTTTAGACAGGCAAAATAACAGCTTCACAGAGTTAAACAAATACAATATGAAAGAATTCTACATACCTTTGAATCATTAAGCAAATGTTTCACAGCATAAATAAATGAAACACATCTTTAATATTCCACAAAGAAAAGGTCACTTTTCTTTTGGTCTTTGGGGAATGTTGCCATGCTCCAAGGATAACTTCAACTACCCAAATTTGGGCAGCACCTATTGGCTTTATTGGGTTATAGATATAAAATATATGACATTAATTGAAAAGCAGGTATGTTCAGGCAGAGTTACAAGGAGGCAATAGGGAGAGTTACAAGGAGATAGTAGGGAGATAGGTATAAGCAGGATAAATGCATGAAAGTTTTCAGAGAGCTGGGCATTGGTGGCACACACATTTAGTCCTAGCACTCAGGAGGCAGAGACAGGAGGATCTCTGTGAGTTAGAGTTTAGCCTGATCTATATGGCTAGTTGCTGGACAGTCTCCAAAGCAATAAAGAGAAAAACTGTCTTGAACAAACCAAATAAAATTTTCAGAGAATAAATAAAATATTAGAAAAGAAATAAAAACACAAAAATCACAAAATATTGTTAGACTAGGTTATAAAATAACAGTACCTAGTTTGTTCAATGAAATAAATTTCAAGCCAGAAATTGAGCAAAGTTTAATTAGGTATATACTAATTGGAAAAATATCAAATCAAGGAGTCAGGAAGGTATTTAAAAGTTAATTGGATGAATTTAATAGTTCATTAAGTATGTTTGAAAATAATTGAACAGGAAAATTTACAAGGTATAGAAGGTAAATGTAAAAATACCAAAGATAGAAGTGAGCATAACATGAGTGTAAATTGGAATCTCAGATTATAGGACAAATAGAATGACACAGAAAATGTTTAATAATAATGATTTGGCTTTTTTAATGATTCATAGGTTTTAATTAATAAATCTCTGGGCTTAGTGCTAAATTCAAGATACTGTTGTATTTTTTGACAGTTCTTCCCTAAAATTTACAAACATTTCAACTGAGTCTTTCAGTGGCATAGAAAGTCAAGAAATTGGCAAGATAATGTTAACAAAAATAGGAAGTGGGATGACACAAAAAGTGTTGTTGAAAGGACATATTTGTGTGGAAATCCAGTTAAATATATGAGGATGATCTATGAGAGATCAGTAGAGATTTCTGAAACTGTGAGTCCTTTTGGGTGATGATGAGACAAATGAAATCAAAGACATTTGAAAATATAGCATCCTTTCAAATCTCAAAATGTAGAGCAGTACTAACCTTTATAAGTTGTAAGTTCTTACTATGATAGTGGGCTACAGAATAAGAATGGACATAGATATTATTTTACAAACCCCCATATATAAGGATATAACTTTTATTCTGTAGAAAAGTAAGAATAAAGTGATGTAGATAAATTAAGTAAAACTAAAAAGGTTCCAATTGATATAACATAAACAATCTGACATTCATATACAATGAGTATGATGATTGATTGTTTGTCAGAGTGACTGGATCTAGAATTACCCGGAAGGCAAATGACTGGGCATATCTGTGAAGGATTTTTCACATGATATGAATGGAGGTGAGATCCCTTCTAACTGCAAGTGAATAAAAAGAGAAAGTAAAGTGCATATCACTATTCATTTCTCATTGCTTCCTGAATGCAGATGCCCTATGACGAGCTGACTTCTTGTTCCTTCCCTGCATGCTGCTATCTATTCCCTGTTAGAAAGGAATGTATCCTCTAAAACTGTAAGCTGTGACAAATCCTTCCTCCCTTAAATTGTTTCATGTTAGGTATTGTGACACAGCAATAAGAACAATAACTAATACAAAAAACTGGTAGGCAGAAATAGGTTTGTTTATGTGATGAACCTCAATGTATAAGACATGGGAGAGTTTGTAACTATAGATTAGAAAATCCCTCAGATGGTTTAAACAGTCCTTAATGGTCTGTTCTGGTAGGAGGTTCAAAGACCAGATGTCTAACAGAAATATTGACAGCGGAGGGACAGCTCATGGAACTTCAGAAAGAATCAAAGACTGTACTGAGAACCAGCCTAGATGCTATTTGTGTGATGTTCATGCCCTTATTCTTTCTATATTCTGCTCATGCCCTGAGAATTTTAATGAAGCTGAATACAAGAATAATGAAATAATTTGTTTCACAGAGGTAATGTACCAAGACAGAACAGCATTGCATGGCTATTGCTCTACTCTTATTTAGGTCTCCACACACAAATACACCCCTCCAAACAAAGCCACCACAACTGGATCACAAAAATAGAAGGAATGTGCATTACCAAGGCAAAGTCCTTGATTTAACATGTGTAAAGTCACAAATGTTCAAAAAGAGGCTTTATGTTGAAGAGGAACCTCTTACTCTGCATTGGCACAATAAGATACCCTATCATCAATAACCCGCCCATCCAGGGCTCCAACTTACAGAAATGAAAATTCATTTGTACGGACAGGACCTAAACTGAGATGTTACTGAAAGTATTCCATACTTTAGACAATTACTCCTTGAGAAAGTGTTTCTCAAAGATCAGTACACAGTCATTGATGCAACTGTAGTTCCCAGGGTACAGACACCAACTAGACATTGCTACAAAACCTGGCAGTGTTAGCCATGTGGTTCTGGTTTTGTGCACATGATATATAGAAACACTGAAGGGGTCATGGAGTCTTGCACCATGATTCCAGAGAGCTTATGAGTTCAATGTGTGAAAGGTTTGGAGTCTTGGAAGGTGGTGTGTGTCCTTTGTATTAAGCTGTGAGGGTTAAACATCATTATCAGTGGAGAGCTAAGGATTTTGGAGAAGTCAAAACCGTGGATATGTGCCAAGGAAAGCTGTGAACATAGAATGATTCTAGTTTTATAGAGAAGCTTTGTGTACATTTAGAAGCAGAGGTAGAGTAGTGGAACTACCTAAATAAGCCCTTTCTAATGCACACGATTTCACCATGAGACTCACATAGCAAGCATGGAGCTGCAGGATATGGTGTAGTATTTCTGAGTTTGGGTGTGATCATGTGTTTCTCTGTTCCCTTTCTTCTCTTTGAAATAGCAACATTTTTCTATGGCTATGTATTTTTGAAGTAACCTATTTTTTATTATCTTATTTAAAATTTCGTTTTTGTGAAGGTGCATGTACACCCACTCCCACTACACACACACACTGTGGTATCTGTTTGTGGAGGTTAGAGGAGAACTTGAAGAAATCAAGAGTCAGTTCTCACCTTCCATAAGTCACCCAGGTTGGCAGGTGTGGCAGCAATTGTTTTCACTCACTGAGCCATCTTGTTCCCTCCATTTTTAATAGAGTGTTATAGTTAAGAAATTACCTTGAATTTCAATAAGACATGGACTTTACATTTTAAAATAATGTTGGAACTGCTGAAGATTATCAGAACTTTTGAAGTGGGAATGAATGAATGCATTTTGTATTACAGACAGCCATGAAATTATGGGGACAAAGGGGAAAGGGATATTACTTAAAAGTAATGTTTACAGTGCTAGAAAGTTGGCTCACTGGTTAAAAGTACTAGCTGCTCTTCTAGAGGAGCTGGGTTCAATTTCTAGAACCCAAGTGGGAGTTCACAACCATCTGTAACTCCAATTCTAGGAAATCTGATGTATTTTTTGGATTGTAAAGACACTGCATGTTCATGATGCACAGGCACCCATGAAGGAAAAACACTTGATACATTACTGTTTTTTGTTTTTGCTTTTTTTCTTGAGACAGGCTTTCTTTATATTTCTTTTGAGGGTGTCCTATAACTAGCTCTTGTAGAGCAGGCTGGATTTGAATCACAGGGATCTATCTACCTCTGTGTCTCCATTGCTGGGATAAAACGTGTGTGCTACCAATGCCTGACTAACAACTAATATTTCTAAGCAATAGGTTTGAATGACACGTCAATAAGGGTTGGCCTACATGACAGGATCTAGAAGCATTGAGAGGACAACTCTTTGGGCATGTCTGTAGGGAATTAATTGATTTGGTTAATGGAGGTGAGAGAGCATTCTAACTGCCTGACTGAATGAAAAACAGAAAATCAACTATGGAGGTGCATCTCCTGCTGCTTCATAAAATCCAGATGCAATGTTACCAGCTAGCTGCCTGCTTCTTCCATTTCTTCTTTTGTTTTTGTTTGAGTTTGTTTGATTTTTGTCTTCTGATACAGGGTTTCTCTCTGGCTGTCCTGGGACTCACTTTGTAAACCAGGCTAGCCTCTTGGGTGCTAGAGTTATACATGTGTGCCACCACTGCGCAGATGTTTCTTCCATTTCTCTTGCCATGTCTTTCTTGCTGTGATGGAATGTTTTCCCTAGAACTATTAGTCAAAATATTCTCCTTACATTACTTCTTGTCAGTTATTGTCATACAGCTATGAGAAAAGTAACTAATGTTGTGTGGACAAGGTGGTGACTTGAAAAAATTGAAGAGTTTGACATATTTACCTGGGGATAACCAGGAGGTGATGCGTACAGATAGTCCCAGTATCTTATAATAAAATTGTAAACAGATGTGTCTCGGTGAACCTAGATTCCTATGTGGTTAACAAGAAACTATGCAATACAAGACAGGCTTAACAATACTCTATATGATCCATATTTCACCCTTTGCCTTCCTCCATGATTACCTTTTGTTTTTAATTTGGCAAAGATTAAACATACCATGCAAAGAAACACAAAAGTATCAACCAACCATTTAATCCCTGAGTAGTTACATGGGCATATTTTGGTTCAATCTGGTTCAGGGATAGGAAAAGCAAAATGAGACTTAGTCATTAATGGGGGAAATGAAGGGATTCAGATGGGTCTTGATCTTTGAAAGTGAAGTAGTAGCAACAGTACTTGAAAGAACACGGCATCTTCCATTGTGATGACCCCAAGCACAGAGTACATCACAATTGTCATCATATTCTGTTTCACTTTCTGAGGAGCTCTCACCAAAGGCACATGGCTTCTCATAAACACAGCAACATTTGGATGAGGGATGGCCCAAGGGTTCATTATCAACAGTGTTACTTGAACACTCAACCCTCTTACCTGACTTTGCCTCCTCTAATGGGTTGGACAGATTGCTACTTTTGGGCTCATCATCCAGTCCAACAGTGGTCTCTGAGATGGCTTCTGTCAGATTAGATGTTGACTCTTCCATAGCAGAACTGGAAGCAGGGCAGGCAAGAGGAAGTGATGTATCCAAGGAGTCTGAGGAAATGGGACTTTGAACCCAGTTAGTCACACTTTATGTACGTACCCATTTAACTGGGATGTCTAACAATTATTTCTGGTCTTATCTAAGTATTCTGTCAGCTGACTTCCTTAGTAGAATAGGTTTGTTCTTGCTTCGTTTTGCCTGTCTCCATGACAATGAAAAGACATAAATGGAATGTTCATTTCTATCTGCAAAGAGACCTAAATTTGAATTGTCAACCTACTGATTGCCTTGAAAAATACTGATTTACCTTAGACATGCTTGTTTCATAAGGGGCCAGATCTCTTAAAAGAACAAACAAAACAAAACAAACAAACAAACAGCTTTGGCAATCAGTTCAATTCCTGTCTGTCCCTGGTAAGGCCTGAGAATTTCATTTAGCATGTGGATCTGTTAAAGCTGTGTCATAACTTTTTAATTTGCTGATTGAACAAAGAAAAGGGCTTCGTAATGCAGTTTTTATTTAAATATATCACTCATTTTGACTATATTTAGCCTTCATTAATTGTTCATTTCTCTCAAGGACCTTTTCCACATTTAATACATTTTTTAAGATTACATATCTCCAATCCAACCCATGGTGTCTAAAATCCAAGCACACCACATATATTTTAATTTTTCATATCCTATAGGTATGATCAAAATGTAGATTGAAAATATTGTGTGGGTCAACATTTTGCTAGCCTACAAATCTAGCTCATGATCCAAAAGAGTACAATCCCTCTAGACTTTAAGTAAATTAAAAATGTAGGTGAGTGACATCTTTACCTCTTTAAACCACGTTCAGATACATTTAGAATGACACAATTAAAATATTTAAAAAAGCAGTACCATTTGCCAAGATTTACTCAATAACAGCATTTTATGTAGACACAAGTTTATCAAATCTTGATTATGGACATGGACACAGTATTTCATTTAAATGACAAGCCTGCTTTAGATCTAATCATATTTTGACAGTTACATGTTGAGTAGTTGACTCTTTGTGTGTATTTTCATGATATTGATTGATTATATATTTTCCCCTCAAATACATGCAATCAAAGGAAAACATTTCTCCTGTTTCGGGGAACCTCTGTTTAAAACTGGCATTAAGTCTTCAAGCATTTCATAAACCTGAATAATGAAATAATAAGTGCTATGTTATTTTATGTCTGAAAGTATTAAACTACAATTTGATATTAATTAATAATCAAACTACAGTTCATATTATACATTTTCATTTGCATAGTTGTGATTTTTTTTGAATTCTTAAACATAATTTCCAAATACCTGTAGTATCTCATATTGGAAGAGACGTTGTATGGTTCTCATTCATAATGATAGAATTTTATATTTCAATTTTCTATTAATCTTGAATATTTTATATAATATAATTTTTAGCTCTGTTGTTTATTAAACAGATATTGAACCCATGCTAATAACTTTCACATTCCTGGAGAAATAGTCTTTATATAATTTTACAATTATTCTGTTTGTCTCCAGAATTTTTACTTAAAATATAATATGTATTATTAATGTAAAATTATGCCTTCATTGTGTTCTATTGTTTAGCATTTTGTATTAATATTGAAGTTAACACATAAAACAATCGGTATCATTAATGAAATTTTATACATATGTGAAGATATTGTACTCCTATTCATCCCCCTCCTACATGTTTATTTTTATTTCCACATTCCCCCTCTTCCTTCTTGTTTTCATTATTCCTCATTGTTTTCTTTTTAATAATACCTACAGCTTGTATTTAATGTCAGTTTTCTATAAACAGAACACATATGGGCAACATTTGTGATGGGAATTGTCCATTTTAAAAATGTCTTTCCAAACGGAAAGTTCAGATGTTGAAAGAAAATTTACACATATTTCCAGTAAGCATAGCATCCAGTGTACACCTATGTGAGAACCAAAGCCTCATCTGAATTGACTCTTGCCACCCTAGGAAAAAAGCCTGAGATTTTGTTTCTAAAGGTGGAATATTAGATCACTGTCTAAATGTAGTTAATTTTAACCCATTCGTCTGTTTTTGAATATCTAGCCTGAATACATGACATGAGATTCCATCACATGTCACTTAGAATGGCTGCCAGAAAGTAAAAAAAATCAAATGTTACTAAAAATATTGGGTTGGTTTATGTTAGATAAAAATCCCTACATACTTCCGATGGAAATGCTAGTTCAGCCACTATGGACATCAATATATAGGTCACTCAACAGACTGAAATTAAACTACTGCATATTGCAGCTACATCACCCCTTTGTATATATTTCTAGTGGAACCAAAGATTGCATACAATAGAGACAACTGTATCCCCAGGTTTCTTGCTGCATAATCACAACAGCTAGTTTTTAGATAACACATTTGGGAATAATAATAGTAATAATGAAGAGCAGAGACACATTAAGTGATCTTATATATTTTTTCAGATGAATTGCTTTCTGATAGTATTTTTATTGTACTGTTTATTTGTCTCTTCACTGTGTTGATCATTCCCTTTGTTATCAAGATATATATTATTTCAATTTAATGACATTTGACTTGGTTTATTTTTATTACTTATATTAATATCTTAAAGAGTTTCCTTTGTGTATACTTCTAGTGAGTTCCTGCTTTATCAAAGGAAGGCCATATGGTATATATGCCAATAATGACTGTGGAGTGTTCAACTTAGATCATCCCCTCCAAGGATCAGTTAAAATCTAGAAGGAACAGAAGAAGGTAAGTGAGAAGAAGGTACAATATAGAACAAGCTATGTTTTCTAGACACCAGGAAACCATTGCACTCATGTACTCTTCACAACTCTATATAATACCAGATACATTAATATTTCTTCGTTGATGGAAAAGGGATCTAGATGTCCCAACCCCTCTCTCTAAGTTAACTATTGGCAGTTAACTTTTTTTGTAGAAGGGATTATCGTTATATTTAGTGGTGTAGCCACTGGTATATTATCATTGCCCTACTAAGTTGATTCCCATCCATGTTTGTACAAGAAAGTATAATTAAACTTACTTGTCTGCAAACAAAAATAATTCACGAAAGTATCTGGGGCACTTGAGAGAGGTTCTAGTGGAAGACGTAGAATCAGAGAAGGGCATGGGTGTTGAAAATGAACATATGTTCTTATATAGATTATAAAACTCAATCAAAAATTCTGTTGTTCTATTGAATGCTAAAGACAAATCAGCAACAATATATTTATTATGTATAATTATGTACTATATAATGAAGTGCTTGTCAGCAATGAGTTACAGATTTGGTAATGATTCCAAGATATTAAAACAGATAATTAAGTGAAGTTTGAATAAGAATGGCCTCCATAGGCTCTTATATCAGAATACCTAGGTAATGGCATTCTTTGATGTAGATATGGCCTTGTTGGGATAGGTATGGCTTTATTGGAGGAAAGGTGTCACTGGGATTGAGCCTTGGGATTTTAGAAGCTAAAGGTAGGCCTCGTGGCTCTCTCTCTCTCTCTCTTTCTCTCTCTCTCTCTCTCTCTTTGTCTGATGCCTTCATATCTAGATGTAGAACTCTCAGTTAACATGTCTGACTACAATCCACCCTGCTCCTAGCTATGAGGATAGTGGACTGAATCTCTAAAACTGTAAAGGAGCTCCCATTGTCATGGTTGTCATATCTCTTACCAGCAATAGAACATTAATTAATGGAGACTGTCACATAGATTTATGGAGTGAAGTAGCCTTGCAAGGTATTTTACACACAATGTAAGAACATCCACAAACATATTATCATTTGGCTAAGCTTTCTGTCTTTTGGGCTATTGAATTGCCTACATCCAGGCCAGTGATCATGACACAAGTCATTCTTGAGGCAGATTACTAGGAAACATGCATGGTGATCATGGTTCCTAACTTTCCAGTACAACAAACTAATTAATGTGATAGACATGGTATGATATAATGGGTCAATGTCAGGGACACTTTCAATAACATTACATTCCCTTCATTCTTAAAATCACTTTAAATGTGTCTCCTGATAATTGTGCTTTACAATGGAATGGCTAGACCAGTAACCAAAACATACAGAAGTTTTGTTCCAGATTAAGTTAATGCTACATTTCTTGTGCTGGGTTCCAGAATAAGTTTATATTACAAGTCCACACTATACCATTGTTGTGCTTTTGCTGCATGGGGGAGGCAATGAAACAGAAACCACAGGACTCAACACACCCAGTTGCTGATTATTTCTGGATGGAAATAAGAAGGGTGATAGTTGTTGGCCAACCAGGAACAGGAAAGAGAGAGAGAGAGAGAGAGAGAGAGAGAGAGAGAGAGAGAGAGAGAGTTGTTGAGGGGTGCTTGCTTAAAATGGAAAGTTTTCTTATGTACACTGAGTCCTTATACATCCATGTAAGGAGTGATTTAGGCATCATGTAGCCATAACAGGTATGTGTGTCCAGCCTACTGTCAGGGCCAGGGTCAGTATATGCCAAGGTTCCAAAAATCCCACCTCTTACCATTAAATAGGTGGGGAGTTAGCCATGGCAGGATATAAAGTAAGGACATTAAGTTCTCAATACTACTTCCTGATGATCTGGGGGGCATAGACCATCTTTGGGGAACCCAAGAAACATTGGGTGTTGGTACATCCTGGGGAAGCTGGATGTTTCATCACATTCCTGGCTCTATGGAACTCTGGTGCCTCTGTAGACCTGGCAAGAGGTTGGCAGATTGGAAGACAAAATTTAGAAACAAAGTTTTTTCTTAGGTCCTGGTCCTTGAGGGGAAGACTGTATGATGGACATGGGTGGTTTTTCAGGAGATGAGGGAAGAGAGTCTAGTGATGAGGGAGCAATTGAATAGTATTTATTTGGAGCAAATCTGACCTGTTTGTGTGGGTTAAATTTGGCTCCCTGAAACTTACAAGGACCCTCTGATTTTGTGAAAACATAAATCCTTGTCACATTAGCAGCTTACT